CCTCGAATTTGAGAACTTCAAAAAAAGCGCAATCGCTTTAAATTGCTCGTTTGATTGAATCAAAGTTCGATTTTGCACTGCAATTTTTGATCTCAAGTCAGCACTACTACAGAAATATAAGACGTTGTCCATTAAATTTGTCAAAAGTTCAATAAATAAATTTAAAAAAACGAAATTTTTTTTAAAAAAGCAAACTGAATTTTGGAAAGGTCATCTTTCTGATTCTCTGACTGTTTTTTTTGGATAATTATCCTGCCAAATATGATACCATAGGTTTGCTCGACACAACAGGTTGTTGGAAGCTTACTTAGAAAATACTTAACAAGCAACAACTGAGTGGACGAAAATTAAATATTTTCCCGTATAACCTCAAATATATTTGTTGTCCGGGAAAAGTTTCAAGTATGTATTCTATTCTAAGAATTTGAGCATTTATACAATCTGGAATGAAGCGTAAAACTTATGCTTCCTTTGAAATTCCCTTTGAAATTAGGTCAATAGCCGATAAAATATAAGCCGAAATCAGTTAAGCCGAAGAAAAATTTCAAGCGAAAAAACAGCAAAGTATACGAAGACAAGGACTAAAATCAAAAACTGCAGGAGTAAGTCGAAACGACAAAACAAGCAGACAACTATAGGCCGATATTTTTTGTAGTAAAGGAACAATTCCAGTTTGAAAAAAATCTAATCCTGATCAGATTCGAACCTGAGACGTTTGCCGACCTACATTCTTCACCTAGTCTTCACCTCCAGTCTAAGTACGGCACTTAGCCTTCATCTCCAGTGCTGGACTCGCATAGAAGTTATAAACGCGAAAAAAATTTAAACAAGTTAAAAGTCTATACGCGAAAAAAAAATGTCTATATTCCTGCATAATAAATGTCTTAACCTCATTCATTGACACTTAAGTATCTCTGTCAGCAGGAACTTACTTGTTCTATTAGAAACTGTAGAGTATCGAATGAAATGAAAACTGTTGGCAACTTGAAATCTGCTTCATCCAGTTTCACACCAACTGTCGTATCCTAAAAAAATTGACTTCTAATATGTTCGTCTTGAAAAGTAGAGAGGCCTAAGATGATCAAAAATCAAAAACTATGATTTGTTCAATTGTGAGATATAAAGAGTCGCCAAAAATTCGGACCTATAGAATTAATTAAAAAGAGTAAAAGTTAACATGGAAGAGTTTGTCTTAACGGCGAATTCTACAAAAAAATCAACTCTTTCAATGAACAATGTCTGTCCCTTTTTTGCAACTGATTAAAGATATTGTCAAAGTCCAAACCAATAATTTGAATTTACACTTATTGTCTTCGTTTTCGGTAGTTTTTAAAATAATTCACAGAACTTGTGACCAAATTTAATGGACAACGTCTTAAATTTCTGTAGAAATGCTGGCTTGAGACCCAAAAATGGCAGTGCGAAACTGAACTAGAATTTGATTCAATCAAACGAACAGATCAAAGCGATTGCGCTTTTTCGAACACTTCAATTTCAAGGTCGAATTTTCATGGGCATACAATTTTCAACCAACAAAGATCTGCCTTGCTTTTTTTCACAGCAGGAGAGACTACAAAACATTCAAAAACTTTAACAAATGTATAGTTTTTAACAAATTTATCGGATAATTTCTATTTCTGACCACGTGACTGAAAAATTGCGTTAATCTGTAACCAAACTTGCAATTGAAAACCAAAACTGCAATGCACCAAGCAAAACAAGCGCACTTTTTCAGAGATGTCCAATTTTAAAACAAGTTTTTGAAAAATTAACTTCATATGTCAAAATGAGTCCTTCCACTGCCGACTGTTGAGCCGATTCCTCAATTGCGGGCAATCTGCAATTCACGGAAGAGTCGTTCGAAGTCCAATTCGCATCATTAGTGACCACCATACCGTTAAATCCTCCATAATCATTACAATTGTTGCCATTTTTCTTCTCGTGTAAGAAAGCTAAGGGTACTTTTTGGATGACTTTTTCTGGATTCTGGAACTTAACACATAGCGAGCACAACTGCCCGAACGGCTCGGTATTTGACTGGGAGAATAATTTCACCTCGCACACATCAATAAAGTCAACGGAAGCTATGTCGCTGGCCGCTGAGTTTACATCAGGAACAAACAGCTGAAAAAAAAGATACATTGTAAAGCTTTGCAGCAAACTAGCTTGACAATTTGTCAGCAAACATTTTCAGTTTTTGTTACATGTTAATTCTTTTGATAAATTGATTTAAATCAATTCATTTAAAAAAGTAGATTATGAAAGGGGCCCTTCCGTTTAGGTACGATCGTGCACAAGCTGGATAGGGCCCATACCAGCATTATATAAATACATCAGTAAACAATATTGCAGGAATTAAGTCAAGTCGTTAAAGGTATTCACTTCAATCATCCCTCCTCTATAATAGCACTAATTGAGTTGAATTGTCTATGAATTGAATTGAATTGTCTACGACACAATTATTCGCTTAGAAATTTTAGATCTATGAATTGCTCTGATCTCAGTTTCACTTACTAGTATTAGAAGGCACAATAGATCGATTCTCAAATAGACACACTCATTATTTGCTTCCATGCTTAGATTCATTCTTTCTAAGCTATCTAAGAGATCAATTTTTTTAATATCCTTAGACACGCCATTTCTTGGTTCTTAATTCAGTTCCAGCCTTTCATTGAACAATTCTGAAATAAGAACAATTATTTACTGTATTTCTGATTATTTGGAAAAAGTGGAACATTTTACACGGAGGCAAAGCATAGCATAAGTCGAAAACAAAGAAGAATGAAAAAGGTTACAACCAGGTGACCGAAAATTTTTAGGTCTCGATGAAGGACACGTAGGGTCAAACTAAAGCTGGAGGTACGTGTTTGATACTTTTGAATTTGTGATACTGATGCAGGACAAAACGCGTAATATCAAAAATCGAACTATGCCCAAAACCTAAGTTGTTTATCTACTAAAATGAGTTAGTCTCAATCGTAAAACGGCCCTCTACAATATACAGCTGCTATGCCCCAAATTTTCGCGCTACATTATCAACACCTATCGAAGACCGGTGCGCCTCATACTCAATAACGGAATGGAAATCACTTCTCGTGAAGGAACGACACAAGCCGATAATCTTGCCATGGCTTTTTATGCGGTTAGTATTAAGCCTCTGATTGACCGTCTGAAAGCCCACCTCTGCCATCAACCATGGTTCGCTGACGACGCCGCCTCGATCGGGAAGCTGCAGCATGTGAAAAGCTGGTGGGAGTCATTGTTGTCACTGGGCCCTAGATATGGATACTACCCGAGACCAGACAAGTGCTGGCTGATATTAAAAGATGAAACTTCCAAGAAAGTAGCTGAAGAACGTTTCGCGAGTTCAAAAGTTAACATTACCACGGAGGGCCATCGATATCTCGGGGGAACATTAGGTTCGGCGCAGTTTAAACAGCAGTACGTTGGGAAACTGATTGAGGAGTGTGTCATACAGATCGATAAGTTAAGCGAAATGGCGACTCGCGAACCACATCTTTCTTATGCTGTGTTTGTTAAAGTCATGCAGAGCAAGTGGTCGTTCGCCATGCGCACCATTCCCGGCATCGACGACGGTTTAATTAAACTAGAGATCCACATACGATATTTCCTAGAAAAGATTATGGGCAGAACCATCACTGACTTTGAGCGCAGAGTTTTAGCGTTGCCCTGCAAAATAGGAGGTCTAGGCGTTTTCATACCCACTACGCGAGCGGAACGAGAGCACGAGAACTCGAAACAGTTGTGCACGAGATTAACGAGCGCTGTTATCGAGAAATGCGAGCTACCACCCTCGTATTGCACAGAAGAGCGCAAAGCCATCAGAAAACGGAACGAAGAACACGCTAAGTCGGAATTGAATCTAATATTACAAGAAGCCACGCCGTCTCTAAGGAGAGCCTTGGAGGTGCTCCAGCCAAAGGGAACATCAACTTGGCTGTCTTGCATGCCGTCCAGAGAACACGGTTTCTACTTTAACCGCGACGAATTCAGAGATTGTCTGAATTTGCGATATGAGTGGCCACTTGTCAACATGGCCACGAAGTGTGAATGTGGACAAAATAACAGCATTGACCACTCACTAAGTTGTAGGCTAGGTGGTTTTGTGATTCTGCGCCATAACTGCGTCCGGGATCTCTTTGCTGATGTTCTTGATAGTGTATGTAAAGATGTAAGCATTGAGCCTCCGCTAATTTCCCTGACCGATGAGGAAAAAATTACTGTTCGGGGAAACATTGAAGAAGTGTGACATTCGACCAGAATGGATCAAAATGCAGATTCAGCATATTCGAAATTTTAGCAGTGAACCTTCCGAATTGGCGATTTTGAGGGAACAAGAGCGTTATTGGAATGATTGGCCAAATGGTGAGGGCTAGAATATTCTGGTATTTTAAAATTTTAAAAACTCGAATTTTGACGTCATATTTCTGAGAAACGTCAGAAACGGCCATTTTGGCAGAAAAGTCGAAGAAGGACACAACAACGATAGTTGCGACGACGACAACAACGAGAAAATTGAGAATCGGAATCAGAGAAAAGCAGAAGTAGCAGAGACCGCTCCAAGTTGCAACTATTGTGTCGCTACAATAGTTGCAAGGCAGTTGCTAACAACAGTGAGGGTTGGAAACCAGCCTTCCGGGTTACAGAGAAATAAAGCTTAACGTGCTTGATTCAGTGGATTCGAGAATCAGGAGGGGTTTCGGGACTGAAACTTTTATCATCTTATATGAACTTTTAGCTTGCGTGTCATGTCCTGATTTGAATTTAATTAACATCTGAATTCATTCTACTAAGATGAGAAGCTAGGAGTTGTGGGAAAGGGTTGATCCATCTTCGATGGAGATGATGATTTTTATCTACTGAACAAAAACAATAATAATTCAATAAGTAATAGTAGCCCTGTTTTTAGGAGTGACCTCGTGGTCTGAGGATACTGAGACCCAGCCATGAGCTCACTATTTTTGCATGTAATTAAGTTAATTTGAGTGTTTTGACCGAAGCCGAAGCAGTAACGTTTTTGTCGACCCGATGTTAGAAAGACCACCGAAAGTACTGGCTTGGTAGCGACGGTGAAAAGCATGCAAAGCTCTGTTTAGACGTTAGCCAGTCGTCTTAGGACTTAGTTTTGTTCTCCGTCGATATGTATCTTCCGGGCGAATGTTACATACATGTTTTTATGGTGCTCCTGGGTGTTATTCTTTTTTAACATCATGACCGGCAGAACCGTTAACGAGCACTCCGCGCCGAGCGGATGCTCACATTAACGCCCTTAATAGGCCAAAACCGCCGGGGCGGAAGGGTAGTTCGGAACGCGGAAGCCTTCCGGATTACCGTGAATAGCTTTTTAACCTAGTTAAGACCGAAAATTCACGAACCAGGAAGGGTGGGGGGATTCGCGGTCCCGTCATTTCCTGAGTGGTCCGTGACCAAAAACACTTAAAGATATAGATAAAACCAAACAAAAAGTAGTATAGTACCCAAGAAAAGCAAAAAACATAAAAAATAAACGAAAAAACCAAAAACAGTAAAAAAGTTTTTAAAAAATCAGTAGATATCATCCCCCCAGACAAGATGTGATCCGACCCTCCCGTTTGTTGTTGATAGATATATTGTTGTTACAGGCATTTATATCAGTCAGGATTGTTACGATCATTTTTGTAGCCGTTTGTGAGGCTTGTACTGTAGGGTTATTTGAGCATTTAAGCACGTTAATGATAAATTGCGCCCAATCCGGAAGGGTCAGCTGATTTGCGCTCAATTCGGAAGGGTCTTGGGAGAAGACTGATCCGGCAAGCAGTACAAGGAGCAACAAGAAGGGGCTCAAGGACAACAACAATCGACTGTTGGGTATCGTTAACAAGTTTTGTATCCCTTTTGGTACAAAAAGTAAGATAGTAATCTGTGGGGGGCTCGACAGTGCTGCACTGTAGTGACCCTTCACCGAACTGCGAATATCCGAGTTAAGCACCTTAATTCGGATATTAAACAAACCCGGAGGGGTATAGTATTACTAATATTATTACTTCTATCGCCCATAATAATACTCCTATATCGTTTTTCAGTGAAAAACAAAGAAAACGGACCGGTTTTAGGGTCAAAATAGCGATATTTTGATCCCCCCACAAGTCGCGATTTTTGAGATATCGATAATTTTTGAAACGGAAAAAAGCGCTAAATTAGTGTATTACATCGTAACAGCACTACTATAATAGATAGAACCGGTTAAGTTTAGTTCGGAAGTGGTTGGAACTATTTTGGTACCGAAAACCGAATTTTCACGATTTTTGATAGTACGAAACACTATAAATTCAGAAATTTTTTTGAAATTTTTGAATTACGACAGTAAAAATAGTTGTTTGGACAACTTCCACTAGTGAATCTACAAGTTTTAAAACCCGCTACCCGAAAGCCTTCCGGGTTGCAGAGAAATCGAACTTAACGTGTTTGATTTGGTGGATTCATCAATCCGGAGGGGTACAGGTAGCATAGTTTTTCGCAAATTTTTTCAACTAAAGCGTTTTAGATCGGGTCTTTTGCATTGAACTAGAAGAGTATTGACCTTTTGAGCTCGGATCAATAATTTTTAGGTCGAAAGGAAAAGAAGTGCGGAAAAAGTTAAGCGGAACCTATAAGAGAGAAATTTCTTGACTTTAGAAAAAAGACGCTTCGGTTATTAACTTTGGAAATACTGGGTATAACCAATTGATCTTGGTACCAACAGATCAGAAATTAGCTGAGCTTACTGATAGGGACAAAAGTTTTTCGAAAAAGTAAGCTTGAAAAGTTTTTGAGATTGTTTTTAGCAAATTCACCAATTTGGGAGGGTAGACCCTTCACGTTTTATAAATTTTTTTTAGGAAAGCCCTCACACCCCTCCCAAAAGGTAACAGCGAATGAATAGAATAACTTTAGGCTGTTCTAGACAAAAAAGGAAGGCTAAAGGCACAGGAAAACCTTAATCGAGCCGAAGTTAGGCTAGTGATAAGACTCTTCACCGTTAGCGTGAATTGTCAAATAAGGGGCTGAACTTCAATCCGGAAGTGTCTAGGAAAGGATCACATACCCTTCCTAGTTAATTTAAAAAGCATAATAGCATCGGAGAACGTATCCGGAGGGGTATAGGTTGAAAGAAGGAAATCTCCGAAAAGCTACTTTTACAAAAGAAGAGGGCTCCCAATCCGGAGGGGTCAAAGAAAAAAAAATTTTTTCTCTTCAAATTAGGAGGGTCCGAATCCGGAGGGGTCTAATATTTGCTCCTTCGGATGGGTCCAAATCCGGAGGGGTCTTATATTTACTAACTCAGAGGGGTCCCAATCCGGAGGGGTCTAAATTTTGCTAGTCCGGAAGGGTCTTATTTTGCCAATCCGGAGGGGTATTATTTTATTAAAGGACTTAGGTAAACGGAAGAAAGACTAAAGTGAGAGGTATAAGGTTATTAGCAGACACAGACAGGCTAGGAATCAGTGACTGCACTGGTAACTTGCCTTTCAAAAAAGACCAGACCAAAACAAAACAGGTCCGAACTCGGATATTCGCGACACTAAGTCTAAACTAAAAAGAGCGTAATTCATTGGTGTGGATTGAAACCCAAAAGGTTTTTGTGAAAAGTGACTGCCCTGAGGATTGTAGTAGGTCTAGCTCGGGCAGTCCGAAGCC